TATATCTCGTATGACGTTTTTGTTCAAGAGTTTTGTTTTGAGGATTTTTTGTGATTTTTTTGGCACACTTATCGTGTAAATAAATAAATAAATAAATAAATAAGGGATATTTGAGTATTTTTTATTCACTAATATGGAAAAATAAAAAAGAAGTTCCTATGAGTGTAAACAAAGGTACATAAAAATTCAAATAAAACAAACCACATTCTTTCCTTTATATTTTGCAGGTTTACATGGGTTTCCTCGTAAATATTTAGATTATTGTAACTCTAAAGAGCTTCAAACACCTAAAACTCTTACTGTTTTTGTACTGATTACATAAACAGGTTATATTAACATTCTTGCGGTATCACGCTTACGGAACGTTGATTTTGCGTACAATGTGGCTTTTGAAAAGTTGAAATCTAAATCATCATCAGCTTTACAATATAGATTTTGCGCGACGAAAGAAATATCGAGCATTTCATGGTGCAGAATTCCTTCTCTGTGCAGAATGTCCAGCGCGATTCAAAACAGAAGAGTGTTTCGCCAGCCGTGGATTATACGCATTTTTTATGAATAGTAGTCTAGATAAAAGCAAAAAATTTTTACAACAATGTTGTCATGACAACCGCTATCAGCATGTGGTTTAATCACAAACTTCTGTCTTTCTACCTTCACCGCAAATGAAGCAAACCCAGACTGACAGTGCTTTTGCTAACTGCTGCATACCAACTTATTATAAGGCTAAATGGAGCTCAACAGAGCGAAATTCCTTACGATGGAAAATGCCCACCTTCATACGTTCAACATTTTCGAGCCAGCACTTACACACAACAGCAAACGAATGAGTTTTGTGAACTTCAAAGTAATCGATCGACTCACTGGTTCTACACCAAGCCTTTCTTGAGCGATCTTCATGGCTCTCTGCGTATTTTCAAGTGCATTTTCTGGAGCCCATTGATCCCAATCCACAGCTGCTCCCGGCACTAGAGCATTCACCTAAAAAACTTTTACATGAGCAACTGTGCCTTCACAATGCACGGTCATGACAGAACATGTCTAAGATATTTTTTGCTCTAACCCGTTCTTTTTCAACATGGTCTTACTACATGTGTACCTGTCTGAAAAAAAGCTACTTCGGGATTTGCAAACAAGATTAATTATGATTGCAAGATTAATTACTGACAAATGTGGTCACTTGGTCGTTATCTTCAGACGGTTAAACAATTTTATTGCCGCGTAACACTACGCCGAAAGCAAGTAAAGATTGTTGACCCTTGTTTTTCTCACAGAAAATTCAAAGCCTGCTGGTCGAAAGTGGACGATAGTCTCGCAAATTACCGAATAGAGGACTATCAGGCGCGACAGTCGCCGATAAGGACACAAGCTGAGCAAGGAAAAAATCAAAACTTATTCTGTTCCTTTCGCATTTCAAAATCTATGTAAACTTCTGCTACACTTGCTGCTACATCGACAAAATCCAGAGAGCTGCAAACCTTGTTTTGAACGGATTAGAATGCAGGTAAATAATATCTATAGACTGCTGCATGACGAAGGCGCAATATCTTTGGACGCGA